GTTTTAGGAGTATAGGTATATTGTGGTAATTTAGAAATTTATTGTAACATATATTTGTTATTTCCTCAATAGGAGTTAGAGTAGTGGTAATTGAGGAAATTTGAATATCTTCTGTAAAGTCACTCGCCGTATACCTAGTTTTTATGGTTGCAGAGGGTTTCATAGCCTGCTCTGTGCATTGAGTCTGGCATCATAAACTTGATCCTTCGCGTAAATAGACTTTCCTACCTGTCTACTTACTATATTCTTCTCTAAAAATGGCCCACAAGAAGTGGAGGACATCATTATTTTAGAGGTGGTGGTTGTAATAATCGACATAAATTGATAAAATGACAGTAACATATCTGATATTCATAATTATAATATAATTGTATTAAGAATTGACTTGTTAATTAATAATCGATGTAAATTGAAAAATAACATGTAACATATTCATTATTATAATATGATTACATTAAGAATTGACTTGTATCGTTTATCAATCAGTGAAAATTAAAAAATGACAGGTATCAATTATTATTGATGTAAATTGAAAAATAACATGTAACATATTTATCATTATAAAATTGAGTTAATTTATTGTATACATATAAAATTAATTATTTGTTAGTTATAAATATAAATATAAATATATCAGTTATCTTTTTTTAAAAGACACAAACATGGAATCCTTAAAAGAATTTTTATATAAAGTTATTTTCCATGAAAAGCCTGTAGATATTCTACCAAACATTAATACAAAAAAAGAAGATGTTTGTATGATATGCAAAAGTGTTATTGATCCAAGTCTAAAGGAATCAATTGCAATTTTAAGTTGCAAACACTTTTATCATAAAGAATGTATTAATAATAAGTGTCCACTCTGTCAAGAAAAAACTAATAGATTGAAAATGTATCGTTTAATAAACAAGAAAGTAACTGTTCTATTAGTTCATTATTGAATTTAGAATGTACTATTTCTACTCCTACCATGTATAACAAACTTACTGAACCTACCATGCATAACGAACTTACTGAACCCACTATGCATAACGAACTTACTGAACTCACCATGCATAACGAACTTACTGAACCTACTATGCATAATGAACTTACTGAACCTACCATGCATAACGAACTTACTGAATCTACTATGTATAATGAACTTACTGAACTCACTATACATAATGAACCTACTATATATAACGAACCTACTATGCATAATGAACCCACTATACATAATGAACCTACAAAGCATAATGAATCCACTATGCATAACGAACTCACCATGCATAATGAACCCACTATGCATAATGAACTTATCATGCATAACGAACCTACTATGCATAATGAACCTACTATACTTACAGAACTCACTATGTATAATGAACTCACCATGCTTACAGAACTCATGTTAACTGAATCCACTAAACCCACATTTACTGAATCCACCGAACCTACGTTTACTAAATTGACTGAGCCTACATTAACTGAATCTACTAAACCTACCAAGTCTAGAGCAATATCCAAAACAACATCCAAAACAACATCCAAAACAATATCCAAAGCAACGTCCAAAACAATATCTAAAGCAACGCAAATGAATCAGTTAATAAAAGAATTAAGTATGCTCTTTAGGATAGATAATAATATTAACAACAATAATAATAACATTAACAACAACAATAATAATAACAGTGATGCTGTATTACCGTTAATTCAACTTTACACAAATATAATTCGTACTGAACGTGATGCATCTAAGACTAATCAAATAGTAATTAGAAGTTGGTATGAATTTGCAGATGAGCTGGATAAACAAATTAATCAAACATTAAGGGATCAAAAAAATTCCAAACATAGAAGCTCTAAAAAATCAGCAACATCTGAAGTTTATAATAAACTTTTAAACCATTTCAATAATATGACTCAGATCGCTTTGAGAAAAAGGATAGAAAAAGTAAATAAAATTTATATCTTATTTAAGGGAATAGGAGTTAATAAAATTGAAAGAGTTAGTACTTTTAGTACTAACAAAATTTCTGAATTTAATGTATTACAAATCGAATATATTATTAAAAATGTAACTGAGTAATGTTGATTTAATTAATTGCTTATATAAATTAGTAGCATAATTTTTACATATTGGTTGTTTATTTTCTATTGCTATATTAAAAAGTATTGTTACATGAATTGTTTATAATTCAAATTAAAATTTTTATAATTAACAGTCAAGTGTAATGTCTGTAATTAATAATAATAATAATAAAAACTTGTTTATTGCAGCTTTTTTGAAATAAGCATTATTTTACCCACCTAACGCTAATATACTAATGCTAATACATATCAGTATTTTGGCACACTGCAAATATAGTAATATTTACATACTGCATAAACTACTTAATTGTCTGAGTTCGAAATTTTATCTTAATACGTACAAATAATAAATTACTAAATAAAGAAAATTCTTAGTCATTAGAATATGTCAAATACATACGTACATATGTACTTTTTATAAATATTGCTCGTATCTTGTGGTCAAGAGTTCTAATTAAGTAGATTTTAACACTATTCGATTCATCTTGATAAGACGAATTGAATGGTATTAAAATCATTCTATTTAGACCATTACATCTCAAGATATTTCAGTGCACCTCATTACCTCCTGTGCCATAATACCCTACTTTCCCTTATAAACATTTTATGATTTCCAAAATCTGCGATTGGTTTAATTATAGTAAATCTCTCATTATAGTAAAGATAAACCCTCTTAATATAGTGAATTTACTTAATAGACTCAATATTATAAAGAAAATCTTTTAATCAACTATAATGAGAGTAACTTGTACTTAAATAGGTTAATGTCGAAATTTATTAGCGCTAGTATTTTAATGTAGTAATTTTTGTTATGAAATAAGAACTTATATATATGATTTTCTCGAATTTATTAATATGTATAAATTATCTAAGCCTGATTATATGTAATAATAATTTGATTAATAAAAGTTTTATTAGTAATGAAGCATTGATTATTCAGATTATTTTACATATTTTAATGAGTTTTAAGTACTGTAATATACTAATTATCTTTAACATACTAGAATTTCTATCATAAATTAAAATTGTACAATATATATAATATATAGTGGTTAGGTTTACATATCCACTGATTTCATTTTTTGGACCTTTTTTTAACTTAATTAAATATATAGACATAGCTAAAACTCATTAGTTCCTAGGTGGTTTCATTGGTTAGATATACTAAATTATAGGGTACAAACAAAAATCAATGAATACGATTAGATTAATGCTAGCCAAATTACATTTAATGCTGGTTAGCCTTTAATACTGTTATGTATAGTACTGAGCAAGGCATATCACTAATCGTAAGATAATTTGTAAGGAAGAAAATCAGGAGGACATCGCAAATATAGTTCTGTAGTTAGAATTTCGTGAATTTGTTTTGCCAAGTTTTTAATAAATCCTTATTAATTCGAGTTATACAACACAAATAAGAGAAAACGAAAAGCATATGAAACTTTTATAATGAATTTGGCTGTATTGTTAGCACCAATATTGGTCTTGGACATATAGACGGACCCAATACTAGTTAGTATTATTAAAGTTATTTCCTCATCTTAGTTATAGATTAACTTTTCATTATATATAGATTTACTATAAGAAATTCAATTATAACGGTTCCTTTGCTAAATGTGAGTTTATTGAATAATTCAATTAACGTAGATGATTTAGTAAGATAGCTAGAGCAAAGGAATGTAGATAAATTTTAAAATAGAAGTTTCTTTATGTATTGTTTACATAAACTTTATGCTACTTTATAATAATCCATTATGACTTATACTATAATAAATTTTTATAATGATTTCACTGAGTTTTTCTATATATTATTATAGCTATCTTATTCAAAAGTTGAATTACTGATTAAAATTAATTAAATACATAAAAAATTACATTTAAGTTGAAATATGAAATAAAAGATTTGAATTTCTCTAGATAGTATAATGATATAATTACAGTATAATCAGATCAAAGGTATTTTAAGATTCTATTATTTGTGAGAAAAAAAAGAAATATTATTTAGTTGAAAGGAAAATAATTTAAATTCCCTTGATATTATAAAATTGTTACATTTATATCGAAAATTGATTGATATTAATTATCTATCTATGATATTTATTAATTGGCTATGAAAATTGATCGATATCAATTATTATCTATGATATTTATTAATTTGCCACAAAAATTTTTATTCCTTAAATTTCAGCTATATTAAATAAAGATAAAAAAAAATGAAATTTATAATTCTATATATTGAATTTTTTTAAAAAATTAGAAAATCCCCAATTTGTGTAATAGCTGAATAGCTGTTATGAAATATAGCACTATCACTATATACTATATAGTACATAATTTAGATATTCTATACGTATGTATTTCTATTACAATCTATATTTGGTTTGTATAACAAACTATCTCTTAGAATATTAAAGATTAGTTCTAAAATGATCTATAAAATTTATTAGATTTTTATTGACTCACGATCATACTTTTTGACCAAAATTTTTTACTATTTTATAATATTTGTCTACAACTAATAACCATATACATGAAGATTAGAAGACTCAAGGTTTTATAATCAATAAAAAATCAATTTTTTTCGACAAAATAAATGAGACACGAAAAAAGATAGTTTTAAACTCATACTACTTGATTTATTGAATTTCTACGTTTTATCATTTTTTTTTTTTTATTAGAACAGGACAATAATGCAATATTATAATATATATCTGTATATCATAATAACATTTTTGCTTTTACAGTTTTATATGTCTTGTTATGCTTTGTTTCATGTATCAAGGTTCAAAAATCTTCACTAACATAGAATTAGAAGATCTATGAAGGTTTGATAAATATATCTTTTTTTGTTATTATATTACACTGAATACTTTTGCAATATATTTTATACTAAGAAGTTCGGGAATCTTTACTTGTGTAAAAATATGAACATTAATCACAAAGGCTTAGTTTATGTCTTTTTTACTACATGTTTTTTTTTTTTTTTTTTTTTTTTTTTTTTTGATATTCTAATATTTATTATTTTTCAGACTTAATAGATATTTCGAAATATATACTAAGTATTAGAATGAGTTGATCACATTAAAAGATTTAAACCACTAAGCTTATTAGATCAATAAGATTTATAAAACCTTATGAGAATATAATAATAGCGATGCTGAAGATATATATGGGTTTTTGTCTTGAAAATGACTTTGCGTGATATAGTAATTACTATATCCTATAAGGTCATTTTTAAGGCAAAGACCTCATACAATATCTACTATCATGATAATCTTGTTATTATCAAAAAAAAAGTAATTTTATTTAATTTAGTAAGGTCCGCTCTGGAGGTTTTGTCAGATTAAAAATATACAAAACCTTCAGATATTTATAGCTTTGGAATTATCACGTTAATTAAATTTATTAGGCAAAGACCTTTTTAATTGGGGTTTTAGAATTATGCTTTAAGAAATCTATTTCAGCTAAAGTAGGTGATTTATTTTTTTAAATTATTTTTTATTTTTGATCAAGTCTTATTTATATAATTATATTTATTATTAATTACAGTTTAAATTATATATGTCATATGTGGAAACAGAATTGTAGTGGGTTTAGAATCTACTTAAGTTGATTTCGAATATACATAGGTTGTAATAGAATTCTAAAACATGTTTGTGTTGATAAAGTATTCTAATTCAATTTAAACAAAAATAAAGAAATTCTAATCAATTCATCAAATTAAGTTATTTTAGAATTTATTTTAAGATAAAGCTTTTATTTATTTTTGAAATAAGTTAATTATGAAACATCTTAATATATAATATTTGATAAGAGTCTCACAATTAATATTGTCTACAATGAATTGTCCTAAATTTGCATCTGGGACTTCTAAATGTTATATTAACCAAGCAATAGAATATTGAGAATTAACTTTTTTCAGGAGGTTTCAAAATTCTGAAATTAGAAAATAAAATAAGAGCATTTTTTGATGACATATTATCATCATATCTTATCTGAAATTAGAGATCTAGTTGATAATTTTGAATCATTCTAATTGAAGGCTTCAGATCTAAGGTTCAGGTTGAATTAAATTGGTAATGCATTTATTTCATAATCAGTAATCTATAAATCCTATTTATTTTTATTTTAAGCTTATCTATATAATAAAATATGATATATATCATCTTCGGATAACTTCTATTTCTATTTCTATTTCGAAATTTCTAAACAAAAATTAGACTTGTCAAACCTCTACTTATTTCAGTATTTTCAAAATAAGTTAGGGAATGAGCAGAAATCAGCTGATTTCTTAGGGAGGGAGGGGGTATAGCAGTTTAGTCAGGTCTTAATAGAAGTGATTTGATTTGATAAGCTTGTATAACTAGTTAGATAAGGGGAAGAGGGTAGATCAATATAATAAATCGAAATCACCTGATTTTTGCCTATTCCTTTAACTCTGAAACCCTCTAATATATGAATTCTAATTCAAATAAAAGAATAGGACTACAGTATATAAATATCGATAGTTAGAAATTACTTAATAAACATTGATAGTTCTAGTTAATTAATAATTAAAATGAATAAAACATACAGTATTTATACAAAGATTTAATATGTTATTGAATATAATTTTCGAATATTATCTGATCTTTTAATGATATGACAGAAAAGCTAACTGCATAATAGTCTTTAGAATTATTAAGTCACACTTTGCGTATATTTATTTTTTAAAGTTTATAAGTAGTTATTTTATTAATATGTACTCTAATATCTATTATTCTCTTTTCTTTAGATATACTATGGTGAATTAAAATCTACTAATCCAATTGTGAAGGTCTTTCATGATCATTACATGATTATATATTTAATTTATAAAGTTTATAAATCTACTAATCCAATTGTGAAGGTCCTTCATGATCATTACATGATTATATATTTGATTCTTAAAGTTTATAAAATCTACTAATCTAATTATGAAGGTTCTTTACGATCATTACATGATTATATATTTAATTC